AGAGACAAATTCCAGTGCTGAGAGGTTTATTTTTAGATGAACACTTAGGTGTATATTTTTCATTTGTGATTTCTGACTGTCTTCCACAGACTGTGTAGGGTACCTATAGATCCTTTATTTTGTTAGCACAAGAAAATGGATAGTTTTTATGACATCCACACAAGGATGCTCTCTGCTTCAAGGTACTGAAAGGTAGTCTAGAACAAAGATAAACAAAACAGAAAATCCCAAACCACAAAGGTAAAAATTCTTTTATTAGGGTAAGTGAAACACTATAGTAAAACCAGGGCTTTATGCAATCCTCTAATGCAATAAAACACAAAATAACAAGACCAGCTGGGTAACTTCTTAAATAAATAAATTTTAAATCTATGTTTGCCAGTGTGAGTTACTTCTGAGTCTACATTTTCAGCTGTTGGTCTACCTGTGTAGTGTCACAGTACTGGCTAAAGCCCTGGAGTCTCCCTTTCCAGGTGTTCTTTCCAAATATTCTTCACAACAGACGTTGTATTGCTTAAAGATTATTGAAAATATCCAGTGCTCTTTGTGTAAAAACAGCTGCACCTCCATTACTGTTTTTGATCAGAACAAAAATGCACTATTTTGATGGCACTCTTACAATTGTTCCTATTTATTGCACTTTGGTTCAGGTCTTGGAGCACAAGAAAGGGTTTTCTCTTKGATGAAACTAAACCAAAGGCACAATCCACCATAGTCCCATGACTAATGTGTTTTTTGCCTGTAAGAATAAATTAGAGCTGGTCCAAATCAAGACCCCTGACATGCTCAGTGTGTGGATGCTGGGTCACCAGCACCATTTTGCTTGGCAAGTGATCTCCATGTGGGCTAGACTACTCATAGTGTGCACCTAGCTTGTCTCATTAGAGTCACATCCAACRATAATGACACGTTCAGGGGATTATCTGCACAGGTAAGTGGGGTTTTTAGTGTAAATGGCATTCATGGGCACGTTTATGTACCTCTTCAGTGCCTGAGGCATACATAAATCCAATTTCTTTGTCTTGCATTATGTGTCCTAGGTCTCCTAACAGAGATACAGTGCAAGTCAAAAAGGTTACGGAAAAACATGAAGCAGCCCCCAGATCAGACAGTCAMTGAAGACAACGAAGGCCATGATGTGAAGCAAGTAACATCTACAACTAAAATATRCAGGGTAAGAGAATTCTTGTAATAGTTCATACAGTGCTGGTGATGTTTCACATCTGTTAAATGCATTTAGCACAGTGAATAAAGAGTATTGGAAACTCTCCGGAGCTATCTGTATTAATGAAAACTCCATCTTCCACCAAATAAAGAAGTACCTTGAGTGTAGATTTAGTTCTGATAATTTTATTCAAAACTCCCTAGATCATCTGTAAGATCCACACAGTATTTTTTCTGTGGTACRCATGTCAGGAATATATCACATACAGTGAGGTGTGATATTAAAACTGAAACATACCTAGTTATATGCTAAACATTTCCTCATTTCTGATAATTACCCACACAAACCTATGCAGTTTAAATCATTATATACATCTCTTCTGCACACTTCTATAAAAAATAAAAACTTCAGTGACAAACAAACTAGTCTTTTATCTCCTTGGTCTCCAAATGGAGAAAAGTAGATGTACAGCTTTTGCCTAAAGCAAGAGATATTATGTCATTAATATGACTACATTTCATGATGGGCTTCTTTTTTTTTTTTTTTGCCAGTATAGGAGAAGGTAGAATTTACCCCAGAACAGCAGAAACTTCTTGATTATATCATGGATTCATACAGCAAACAACAAATACCACAGGAGGTGTCAAAAAAGCTAGTAAGTATATTGACAAATTCATTTTTGAAATACTGACAATGAAGCTGAGGACTACAAGGCAAAAAATATTTTTAGTCAGCATTAAGTGGGTGTAGTAAGTAGAGCAAACTGTGTGCTTACAGTTAAAGCGTGCTGGAAGTGGGGCAGAATCTCTCCCATTCACTCAACAGTTAGACTCCTTTGGTTATCAAACTTAAATGTTAAGAAAAAACTTCCAACTTTAGAATAAAACTTTTATGATGAAATCTAACTGTTGCCGATTTGAGCTTTGTTTTTTTCTGCTGTCAGTATAGGCAGTGATTTGAATTTGACTTGCTATTAAGCTTCCTTTCTATAAAGACAGCACCCTGGAAGCTTGAAAATATTTTCTAGAGTAAGAGACTGTCTACTTCTATGTTGCCTTCCAAAATACTTGGTTTTGACAACATTGGAGACAAATTACAGTGTTTGTTGGAACTCTTGACTAAGAGTTCAGTTTAATAGTCAGTTCAGTCTAATAGTCCTTGTATTTTATGCTGCTAATTGTGAAGGTCGGTGAAAATTAACAGATATTGTTTGGTTTGATTTTTAACAGTTAAACGAAGAATTCAGTGCTGAAGGAAATTTTCTGATTTTGACAGAAATGGCTACCAGTCACGTGCAGGTTCTTGTGGAATTCACTAAAAAGCTACCAGGTATATCCAGCCTGTAGGGCTAAATTTTGTTATTGCACCACTTACATGCCTTTCAGTTGTCTTTTGGCAATCGTTGTGCGYATTTTGAAGGCTACATAAAAATGCCTGCTCCTTCTACACATTGTTTGGATACTGTGTGAAGAAAAGGTGCTTAGTGCTCAGAAGAATAAYAGGCTGAACAACCCAAATTCTGCAACTCCATGATGTGGCACTCTTTAGCTTTTGACAAACAAAATGCTCAGAGAAGGGATTGGGTCTGTAGAGAGATTTTATTTTTATATCTTGCTGCGATGCCAAATAATCTGCTTCTAAATTACCACTAACACTTGCTAGACTTT